CAAAGCCTCTGTGCAGAGCGGTATCTTGGCAGGGCCCAGCAGAGGATCAAATTAGGTGAGGGTTGATTATCACAGTGTTTCTCAATCTTGGCAACTTTAAGATGCAACTTTAAGATGTATAGACTTCAACTCCCAGAATTTATGGCTGGCTGGGGAATTCTGGGAGTTGAAGTCCACGCATCTTAAAGTAGCCAAGGTTGAGGAACACTGCTCGATCTCCACCAAATTCATGCTTGAAAAAGGCAAGAAGGAAGGAAGGAAGGAAGGAAGGAAGGAAGGAAGGAAGGAAGGAAGGAAGGAAGGGGGCTGTTGATCTGGAACTGTTAAACTCCACATACTACAGAATTAGTAAGGGGATCTTTTTATGCTGATTTTTATTTTTCTTATTTACCTTGATATCCATCCCTTTGCCAGCTGGTCCAGGGTCTCCCTTGGAAATAAAACAAGAATTTGCATATAATTGAAGCCACAAGTTCAGGGGAGGTTCCTTAATTTGTTCTTTTGCCTCTACTAAAAAGCAAGCAAAGTGATTAGGGGCTCCCAAAAGCCATCAGCTAAATAAATCCAAGGAGAAAAATGGTGAGTAATAGTGAGTCATGATAGTGAGATTTTCCTCCCAGGGCTAAGATATTCTTTCCAGACCCCCCATTGCTGTCTGGACACCCCCAATGATGTCCCCTCAGAGCAACACAGTGCAAGTGCTTAGCACCTCAACATTCAATTCTTAGTGTCTAAAAGCAAAATGGAGGTCCTGCCTGGACCCCGTTAGCAGCCTCTCTACCCTGAAGTCCCACCACCAACATTTGAGGGCAAAAGCGTGACTGGGGGGATCTTCTCCTCCAATTAAAAGTGGAGAGAGGACAGAAGATCTCTAGGAGGCAAAACGAACCTATTTCAACCCCAAACCTCATTGCCCAATTTCTGGCCTGTTTGGGGAGTGGGGTTAAGAATGGAGATAGAAGGAGTCTGCCTCCCAGAGTGCTTAAAAACACCAACAAACCCCCAAAGGGCCAGAAAAATGGCCCTGCCCTTTCTTGAGATGTCACTACCCTTCCATGGACATCACAGACTGCCCTCCTGCTGGTCAGGGGAGTGTTGTGACCCCTGATTCTCCACAGTATCTGATTCTGATGTGGAGTCCTAAGGAAGATGAATTGATCACATAATGTCAGCCCAACAAGGTAGACCAGACTAAGAAACCAATGCCTTGTAGGTCAGGACTGCTTTTATTGTAACAACTGTAGTAACAGAATCTTGTGAGTCTGAATGTGCTTCCGCCCTCCCTCCCTTTATCTTCGTGTGAATGAGGGAGGGGCTTGTCTGAGATGTTTTCTCAAGTTACTTCCTTGGCCTGGGCTCAAGACCCTCTTATCTGGCTATTCCCTTGGTAGTAGCTCTTCCTTCCGTCCTTCAAGGCCATTCCCTCTGCCCTCTACACATAATCAACCCCACCACCCAATGGGACCTCCATCTTCCAGTCTCAGGGAAGCCTGAGATTGCAAAATTAACAAATTAGTCTGTAACAGTTGAGCAACTCTTATATATTACACAGATTTAATTCTTCAGTAGAATCTTAAAGATAGTTAAAGATCCCTTGAGTTGAGCTCAACTTCTTGCAAGCAATACATAAGTGTATTGTCGAAAGCTTTCACAGCCGGAATACGATGGCTGGTGTGGGTCTTCTGGGCTGTGTGGCCGGACAACAAAACCTGGCTACCAATCCTGAAAAATACAGCGTGCAAAAGGTCAACGAACTCAGCTCAACCCCCGGGATGCGTGACCAATCCACACAATGACCTTGCTAACCCCCCCCAGCAGCCACTCGTTAACAACTCAATAGAAATAACCCTGCCTAACCCCCAGGAAGATACACACATATTCTGAC